TGATGGTTGGTACACTTGAAGCTGTCCCAAGAGGCTCCTTAAACTATCTTCGTATTTTTGGATTCTTTTTTGTTTTTGTTTTTCCGGTTGGGTGTTTTTTGTTTCTTCGTATTTCAAATCTTTGACTTGATTCTTGCGATCCTCTGGTCTGCAGTTGGGAGTCTGTATAATATTCTTTATTTCAGTCCGTGTATGCTTACTTTCTAGTTGGTCCTTTATCACAACATCGAGGGTCTCACTAGAATTCTTGAGGATCTCACTACATTTATCCGCAGTTTCTAGAAAATTCTTGAAAAACCTTAAAAGTGTGGTTTTGAACTCTTTATCCAGCAGTTTTCTTTCCTCCATTTCTGTCGTTTGTGTCCTGTTTCTTTGTCTCTGCATTTTTTATGCTTCCTTGTATTGATAAAGTGGTTTTCTATGCTAAGTGTCCTCTGGGGCCCAGTGGTTCAGCCTCCCCAATTACCTGAGGAGGACACTCTTGGTGCCCCCCCTTGTGGTCTTTGTGCACAGTCTTGTTGTAATTAAGCCTTGATTGTTGTAGGTAACACTGGGAGGGATTGCCCTCCAGGCCAATTGGCTGTGAGAATCAGCTGTGTCTGCAGTGGGAGAACTTCTGTCCTGGAGCTCTAGGGAGGTGCTAATCTAGCCTCCACCTGAGGCTATCCAGCAAACGCCTCCCGTGCAAGGCTTGGGCGGGGTGGGTCCCAAGGGATCAACAGGGCGGGCAGAGCGAGCAGTTATGGCTGCTCTCAGTCCTGCCTTCAGAGGCCCCGCTTGTCAGTGTCCCAGCAATTGCTGCAAGTACCTCCGAGAGAAAGCTGCCCTCGAGTTCCGACCGATGCCAGACAGTCCCGCTTCTCCTGTATGAGTCTAGGTCCCCAGAGACTCGCCCGGAACTGGAGCTCAGAGCCTGAGACTCCCTCCTGATCGAAAAAGACAAACCGCGCCCTCAGCCGCCAGCCCGCTCTGCGTGCACCTTTGTACCTTAGTATTTTACTTCCGCACTGCGCCTCCTCTGAGCCTCGGTATGCTTTTCTCTTTCCTTCTAGTTGTAGAATTTCCACTAAACCAGCCTTCTTGTGGATCTGGGTAATGTCCGTTCCAGCTTTTAGTTGTATTTTTGAAGTGGTTGTGCGAGGCAGCAAACTCCGGTGTTTACCTATGCCACCATCTTGGTTTCTCCTGCAACAAAAATTCTTTACAAAAATAAAATAAAATAATAAAAATAAAAACCACTTTTGGGAAGAAACATGCATTATAAGAAAAACATCAAGAAAGAGCACATACTACAAAATTACCTCGACAAGATGTCTCCGAGCTTTCCATTGAATCTAGTTTTAAAGCATCAAACACCTCAAAATCAGACTTTTTGACATGGATCAAATTGTTAATCGTGCCAAGCTGACTGGTAACCACAGGCTGAAACAGTGAATGGGAAAAATGTATGAGTCCCTGTTTCAAATCGATCTCTTCCATTCAACTCTCCTCTTTTTAAAAATGATCATACTCGCCACCTCCATCTTTTATCAGGAGATAAATCCTCCAGTGCAGGAGAGCTGCTGCCCAGCAACCTGACAGCAGTGAAGCTGGACACCCAGGGGAGTAACAGCTAGGAGGAGACTAAGTCAGTGCTTACCCTTGGAGGTCAAGGCCTTACCTCTGATGGATCATGAACCCACTGTCCATCCACAAAGAACTTGTACTGATGCTCTTCCTCAGGGAGGTCCAGGATGGCCACAAAGTCATTATGGCTACAGAAGAAAACAGAAAGTTAAGCAGGCCAACTTCTTATCAGAAGACGGAAAGTAAATGTAAAAACCATGAGGCAATCAAAATATCATACCAATTTCCCTCTACACTGCTAAGTGGTTGTAGCCTCTGAGGTAATTTATAAACCCAGTTTCCTTTCCTATATCATGTTCAGCATGTATTTGCCAACCCCTCCCAATAACTTTAGTTCTTAACTAATGTCTGGAAAAGAATAATAAAAAAAAAAAATGTTAATCTCCCCAAATGGTTCACCTTAGTACAAGTATTTTGCTTCAGCAGAACAGACCCCTCACAAGTGAAAATAAGATAGCAGGTAGGTTCAGGATACAGAAGTGGCTCAGGGTACCCTTTCCATATTTTGGTGAGCATCTTCTGGAAAATTACGTACTGATAGGTAGGGCGTTCTCATAACCAGTTAAATAATTCATTATTGCCCTGGAGGCAACAAATAACATTAGAACTTCACCGTGTGTTTCGTTTTAGTGCAGAAGTCAGAGCAACTAGACTCAGCTAGTTATAAAACACTTCCTACAAGCATAGAAAGGACTTGAATTAATACGGTCCTAAAGAATGTGCCCACAAAACTATAAGTCCCTCCGAGTAGTAAAACACCTCTGACTCACTATGAAATTAAAATTAAAAAGTCGCAGATACAGTCACTGGTCACAGAAAATGTTCATGAGTCCCTAGCAGGTGGAGAGTAGTCCTGCCAGGTCTCTACTCCGGGACTCTGTAGACTCAATCAAGACCCTTGTCTTCACCTCTTAATCATTGGAATCTTGGCGCTCCAATTGTTGAAGGACCCGGAGATGAAGACCTCCTTGCCTCCTTCAGACCAGCGGATAACAGTGGGTCGGGCCTGCTGTGTGGGCTTTACGGAGTCCTCCAAATCCTGCTGCCACCAGGGAGCTGTAAGAAGGATTAGGTCATCCCTAGATTAGGTCATCCCTAAATTGTGACCCAGGAATTCTGAAAAGGTCACTCTCCTCCCTAGGGCAGAGAGCGGTGCTAGGTTTCTGCTCAGAAGCCCTGAAATTAGCAAGTTTGGTTTTAAACATACTATAGACCAATGGTTGGCAAACTGCGGCTCGGCAAACCGCAGCTCGCGAACCACATGCGGCTCTTTGGCCCCTTGAGTGTGGCTCATCCACAAAATACCACGTGCGGACGCGCACGTACAGTGCGATTGAAACTTTGTGGCCCATGCGCAGAAGTCGGTATTTTGTGGAAGAGCTGGTATTTTGTGGCTCGCGAGCCGCAGTATGCCGAGCACGACTATAGACTAATAACTCATCTAGGACCAATATGGTCAAATAAATGGCTTATGCTCAGGGGCTGCCCAAATCACATCCTAACTTCCAAGTCTGTTTCCTGTTACCACATTAACTCATAGGCAGGCAACTATGATATGCTTCTGAGTACCTCTTAAGAGAAAAAATGTGAAAATGAAGTATCTCTATATATAAAAGCCTAAGTGACCTAACGACTGGTCGACCGGTCGCTATGACGGCACTGACCACTAGGGGTCAGATGCTTAATGCAGGAGCCGCCCCCTGGTGGTCAGTGCACTCCCACAGCCAACCTCCCACGGCTGGCCAACCTCCCGTGGTCCTTCCCCTGGGCCAGCAGGCCAACCTCTCACGGTCCCTCCCCCCTGGCCAGCCACCCCGATAGCCGGCCAGGGCAAGGGACCCCACCCCTGCATGGATTCGTGCACCAGGTCTCTAGTCCCATATAATAAAAGCCTAATATGCAAATCGACCAAACAGTGGAACGACCAGAGGAATGACTGGTCGCTATGTCGTGCACTGACCACCAGGGGCAGACACTCAACGCAGGAGCTGCCCCCAGCCCACAGGCCCCAGGCAAGCCAAGGCGGGTGCCAGCGGGGGCCCCCTAATCACCACGCCTGTTGCCCCACAGAGGGAGGGGGCGGGGCTGGTGAGTGGGCGATACCAGTCCGGCCAAGGCAGGTGCCAGTGGGGGCCCCCCCAATCGCCCCACAGAGGGAGGCAACCAGTGGCGGCGGGGGGCGGGGCCAGCGAGTGGGCAGTACCAGGCCAGTCAAGATGGGTGCCCGCGGGCATCCCCAGTCACCCCACTTATCAGCCCTGATCGCTGGCCAGGCCTAGGTACCCTACCTGTGCATGAATTTCGTGCACCGGGCCGCTAGTGGTTCTTTAAAAAATAATTACATTAGCCATGTATTTTTCACATGCAAGTATGAACAGCTCTCAATTATCAGTTGCAATGGAAGATAGAGATACTGAATTTCATAAATAATTCGTAAACTCCATTTTAGCTAATAGGTTACAAAGGGCATTAAAAACATAAAAACCAGATCATTGTTTTCTTAAATTTTGAGAATTGGTTATGAACTCTTATTTGCCCACCATACTAATTATTTCAGGAGTAGGAATGAAAATTCTATCTGGAGCCTCAAGAAACATCAGGTCAAAAACACAGCTTCCTTCAACAAAAGCAGTTCCAATATCGAATGAGGTCTGTAGGGTTCTGAAAAATATCGACTCCTTACTTAGTTTCTTTTCATTGCCATGCTGGGAAATTTCCTGGGACTGAGAGACTGAAGAAAGAGGTTGACAGTGCCATCATTACATCAGAGTTTATTAAGGGAACTTACATGAGGTTCATCTTGGGCTTCAGCAAGATAATGTGGATAAACTCCAAGCCCTGCAGCAGGCACTGAAGAAATATATAGAACAGAGCAAAATGGATAGGAGTACTGTGGCAGGAGCCGCCCCAGATAAGGGGAAATAGCCTTAGTGCCTGCCCAGGGCAGGGCAAGCGCTTGTTCTAGGAACCAGTACACCTGGGACATATGGGAGGGGTCAACCAAACCATCTCTGAGGGGATTTACAGGAAGCAATCTCTGTTCTGGCGGGGATCTAGCTGGATGTAGGTAGAGGACATGTCTTAGAACAGTCTCTCCACATACCATCCTTTAGAAGGAGGGTTGGCAAACTATGGCCAGTCAGCCAGATGTTTTATAAATAAAGTTTTATTGGAAAATAGCACACTCACTCATTTACTTAGCATCTCAGCTGTTTTCATGCTACAGTGGCAGAAATGGGTAGTTGTGAGAGCCTATATGGTCTGCAAAGTCTAAAATATTTACTACCTGGCCCTTTACAGAAAAAAGTTTGCTGAGCCCCACTTTACATAGGCTTAAATGACGTTGGTAAATAGAGAAATAAGACTGTACAGTATCAAGTGAAAAGATTACCAAGTAGCCCTGGCCAGGTGACTCGGTTGGTTGGGCATCATCCCATGCACTGAAAGGCTGCCTGTTGGATTCCTGGTCAGGGCACATGCCCAGGTTGCAGGCTCGATCCCTAGTTGGGGGGTGTGCAGGAGGCAGCCACTCAATGTTTCTCTCTCACATTGATGTTTCTCTGTCTCTCCCTCTCCCTTCCTTTCTCTTTAGAATCAATAAAACATATTTTAAAAGAAGATTATCAAATAAAGTAATGTTGTCTTTTTTTTTTAAAGGGCTAGCTTATTCATTTGGGCTTTATTTTCAAAATGGCTGCGGCAGTCTACCTTCCACACTGCCTCTCGATCGTCCTCAAAACTGCACTGAGTCACCAGTAGCTGTATAATCTGAAGTAAACAGAGAAAGAGAAATGAAGGCACTTGCACATTATATAAGTGGCTTAAGAGAAAACCTGGTCTCCATATTCTTAAAGCAATGCACTCTTGTCTGACAAGCTGCATTAGAATTACAAAATGTCTACGTATGTCTAAGAATAATTCTCAGATTCTGATTCAGATATAGGGCCTGGGAATCTCTTTTAAGTTTCCCATATAATAATGTTAAACAAAGAAAAAAAAACCCTCATTTTTAGAGATCTGTCCTAAAATAGATAAAATAACATATGACATGTCTGGAATTTGCTTCAAAATAATTGGTGGGGAGAGTGAATGGATATAGGTTATATAAATTCATTCATGATGTGATCATTGTTTAAACTGGATGACAGGTATTTAGGAGTTCATTACATTGTTCTTCCTAAACTTCGAAACATGGAAAATGTTTCAAATTTTCCATAAAGTGTTTAAACAAATGTCAGGTGATTTTCATGTGCAAACAGAATTGAGAACTGAAGAAGGTTGGCATTCAAACCAATGTAGGCCCCACTGCCACTGTTTCTATCAGTTACTTTTATGATTTAGGATTTTCGATTTAGAATTTGAAAGCTACAAACTATTAATATGCCTAGCTTTGGAAGAAAGCCCTTCCATGTATGACATGACATTTCTGTGGTAGATATGAGTACAGCTGACTAGCAGAAAGACTGTTTACTCCAAGTTAAATTGTCAGCAAAGTCATCAGGGAAAGAGACAATTAGGATTACAGTATGAAATGTTCAAGTAAAACATTGAGGGAAGAAGACAGTAATTTGAGAACTACAAAATTTTAGACTTGGAAGAGATCTTAGGAATGATCTGAACCAATTTTCTTATTTCACAAATGGCAAGACTGAGGGAAGGGAAAGAATGATCCGAAATAGGCTCCATTTCAGAGAGAGCCACCTGGCTTCAATCCAGGACACCGATGACCGCACTCACAGTTTGACAAAAACGCTATTCTTAATTCCTGAGTCATCAATGTAGGAAAATGGAAAAAATACAGGGAGGTAGACACCTTGAGAAACCTGGAATAAGTAAATTCAGATGGCTGGATGGACAGCCCAAATGATGAGGAAGGCGTCCAGAAGTGGGAGAAGAAAGGAACAGAAAAGAAACCCCAAGAAATGGTCCCTTTAATCATCCTCAGTCCTCCTTTCTCTGATGACGTGCTCAGTTGGGATCCAAGAAAACAACCAAATTCTATGCGCCACCAACTAGGCAGATCATTCTCTGTTGAAGAAATAAGAAACTTCAAACACACTCCAATCTCCTCAATCCCTCCATTTTTTTTTAAACTTCATCCCAGTTGGCCTTAATGCATGTAATGCTGACAGCTCTAAAAGTGATTAGAAGCATTTGGATGGTAATCATACTGCTGTCAGCTCCACCGGTCCTTGCTGTAGAGTGAACACAGGTTGCTGCTTTCCTGAAAGACCTAGGAACGGAGAGCAAGTTCTCCGGAGCAGCTGTGGGTGGTCCTTTGCAGCCATGGTAGCATTATGAAGTACTGCTGGGACACGGGGAAAGCCTGGAATTATTTGCTCTGCCGCTTGAGGAGCAGCAGCTGGGCAGGAGAGAAGCACAACCTCAGTCACTGCAGACGGCCAGAGTATTGGGGCAAAAACCGAGCAGCGATGTCCTTTACGGAGCCCCACTGCCAGGAGAAAGTACTCAAGTAAGCAGGCGGGTGCCACTCACCGCCAAGCCAAAGGGAAAAGGATCCGAAGTGCTGAGCTCCTGGAAGGGTAAACATGACATTCGTTTACCCACCTCGGGGCAAATGTGAGAGACACTGGAGTTTTCCACCGGCGCTTACAACCTATATATTCATCAATACTTTGGAAGAGGACACCTTCCTGTTAGGAGAACCAAAGATAAGGGGGCGGGCGTGCTCCTTGTCATCCTAAAAATGTGGCCAACAGACTGGCCGGAAAACGAGAAAAATCTCACTTCTGTTTGGAGGCAGCACTGCAAGAGGAATCGCCATCCAACAACCCCCCCC